TCATCTAGTCTTCTGTGTGCACAAAGGAAGAGAACATCAAACTAGGTTTACATGATATAAATTCAGTGGCGTTAAATCAACGAAGCTACATCGAATTGTATTCCAAAGTCTCTGAGTCGTGAACTTAAACTTAAATTCGAAGACAAGGCAGTGTTTTGCACTAACTTACAGCTGAATATACGAGGCTCGTCCACAAAGTAAGTTTCCCTGGGGCCGTTTACAGAAACAAAACACAATTTCATGGAAATATTTATTGCAACAGATACAGCAAGTGTCCAGCTATTTTTCAACATATTCGCCACCGGAATTGAGACATTTGTCATACCGTGGGACCAACTTTTAATACCTGTGTCGTAGAAGTCTGCCGCCTGGGATTGGAACCACTGTGTGACAGCCATCTCCGCCTCTCTGTCATTCTCAAAACGCTGACGCTGACCGGACAGGAATTTCTTGAGGTGTAGGAAAAGATGGAAATCACTGGGAGCGAGGTCCGGGCTGTAGGGTGGATGATTAAACACCTCCCAGCTGAACTCCTGCAGGAGACTCGCTGTCCGTTGAGCCGTGTGCGGCCTAGCGTTATCACTGACCGCACTTCACAGTCGGCGGGAGCTGGAATAAGAATCTCCATCTTCAACAGCTGCAACGATGCTACTGTGAGAACGCGGGAAGTGCCGTTAGTGCATGCGCCATGCTACGTCATTGCTCTATCACGTACGCACAGTCGCTTCGCGCAATATAAGGTTTGCTAGCTGTGGGACGAGTGGGAAACTTACTTTGTAGACGCGCCTCGTATTAAAGGAAGAACTTAATAAAGATCCAATCAGGCAGGTTAGTGGATTCACATTTCAGTCCGGGGGCATTTACAACTCTAATCCAAATATGCTGTTCTGTGATTCTGCGTGTTTATACTCTGTTGTCCCAATTAGATAAATTTAAATTTTCGTTTCATCTGTGCATTTCTGTTACGAATGCCAGCTTCTCGCAACAGGATGACTCAAAATTCTGTGCTTCATACACGGTTTATTGTGAACGCGTATTTTAAGAAGCCGGGCTGTAGGACGCGGTATTGATTCAAGAGTAATTTCTTTGGTAAGGAACCGAGAGATATATTAAAATATCTGTCAAGTTCAGTCCTAGGTTTCTTGTATATAAGTACATAATTCTAAGTACATGTGCTCAGTAGAAGTTTCCTGTACTACATTTATTTGCAAAGACCTTACCACTTCAGGTTCTCGTGTTCTGAAAAAAGGAAAAATGAGAGAGCACAAAAGCTTTACGAACACAGTCTTTGTTACGCGAAGCTGTCGGAAGACTCCACAAGGAATGATGATTCTTCTCTTACATCAGATTCCACGATATTTGAGAGACAAGTTAAACAATACCCCCACTGTTCCTTCTGTGGTCCACGTGGTTTGGCTCTCTGTTCTGAAAACATTGGCAATGGAACTATTTTACTGTTAAAACACACTGTTTTGCACTTATAACTCTGTAATCACGAGGAAAAATCCCAGGAAGATAATGTGTACACAACACGCGTTGGTCGAAATGAGTCTAAAGTTAGTACCGTAGACAGTTGGAGCCTTCGCCATTCCAAGATACTTAAAAAAACACAAAGAAATTTTCGCCTGAGAAATAATATTAATAAGCTTATGACAAATGGTAAAGGTTAATAGATTTATTTAGTCCGGAACCGAACCAAAATGGCCTATACAAAGACTGCTATAATATTTTTTTGAAAATAATGAAAATGCTGTCTATGGTATCGTATTGTTTACCTCGCCTCTCAAACGTCGTGGGATTTGATATAGTCCACAATCCATTCCACTCTTTTACGCTCGAGCGAGGGGTAGAGAGGGAGCGAACCAGGGGGAGTCTACGATATGAAATACGACAAAGAGGGTTATTAAGATTTACTGTATACGTCGCGTAATAAAATGAATCTCTCCACGGGTTCGCGAAGAAAACAACAGATGAACCTGACTGTCTTCTGGGTTACAGCGCCGTGTAGTCTGGTAAGAGTTTACTGACGTTTCGGAGATGCTTGCTGTCTCCAACATCAGGTAGATTAGATTAGGTTAGATGGAGGCAGTAGACATCTCTGAAACGTCGGTAAACTACCAGACTACAAGGAATAACATCCAAGCTGTGTATTGATTTATAACGCCGTGTCTTATAGGTAGGTAATTTTACGCTGTATCGTCTTCGAAATGTACAACTTGGTTCGATTAATCAATTCTTAGGCTTTCAACTGCCCACGTTACGTAACACAGAATGAGTTAGGAAGGTGATTATGAATGGCACGTACGAATTTGGAAGGAGATAACCACAGCTTTTGTAAATGTGAATGACGAAACTGGTCTGGAACGATTGTATAAAACCTCGTTAACTTCTTAGTCGGAATAGACGATAATACCCGGGGTGAGATTCGAAGAGACTGCGTCTAGAATACAAGAGAAAAGTGTTATTTTCCCCACTGTTCTTCATTGTTTTGTTTCTAACGTAAGTCGCAGAAGACGTCGTTCTGTTCCCCAGCCGACTGGTCCAGCACTAAGATTCGTTCTAACACGAGGCGACATAAATCCTTCTGAACCTACACTCACGTCTCGTTCGATTACTATAATTTACGTCCAGTGGCCGAGCATCGCACGAAGCTGTAAATCCAAATGCACAGAAGATTTTACGCGTAAAAAGAAACAAAGGTGATATTATCCATGTTCGTTGTACGATTCAAATAATATAAAGGTAACCTATGCAGTTGATATTTATAAATTAATTCGCTTTCAGAACGCTCTTTTGCCTTCAACGGAACAAATACAATAATACCTCGGAGATATTGCGGGTTCGGTTCCAGACCACCGCAATAAAGCGAGTCACACGAATATTTTGGTTTCCGAGTGAATATAAAAGTTATATTTACGAAATACTGTAGTCTATTAAGTGTGCAATAGCTTTGTGTCCAAAAATCAAAGCGAGAATTACCAAAATGTGACACAGAGACTCGGAGTGAGCACGTGCTGTTGGAAAAATGGCGCCGAGAGACTTGCTCGACGCAGGGTTGCCACAAACCTTCAATTTTTTTTAAAAAACGCAATATCTGCGAGGCGCAATAAAACGAGGTATGTCTGTGTTTACCAAAGAGCAAAATGTGCTGTGTCCTTTTTGCACCAAGTCTTCTAATTAGCTACTCATGAAAGGTGAGAGACTTAAACAAGACACTTGAGTAACCTGACCACATCTGCTGAGAGAGTTTCTCTTGCATTCGATGAACACTGAGCTCTCGCCCGGTTCTGGTCCGTATTCTGTGTGGAAATATATTATATATGAGGACGTCAGAGCCAATAACATCGTAAAAAAAGTCTGCATTCCCTTTAAAATACACGAACATTTCCAGTTTATTTCGTAGTTTAGGTTTCAGACGTCTAGTACGTAACTGTCTGTTCCAGGATGTGTTTTGAAATACAGCGCGATTCTGTAGCGCCCCTGCGACTACTTACAGTCATCTGTTTCGTTTTGCCCACTAAAAAGTACTCATCGGTTTGATGATGGGGTAAACGAGCAGCTCTGAAACGTCGATTAATTTCTACGCTGTGCAATACCCCGTTGTTGTAATGTTTATTTGATGAAAGAAACAGAAAATATATATACTTAGCATTAGACATGTTTTTATACTCAGTCTGAGCTATTACAAAGCGTCGTTAAATAACCACAAATAGATTAAGACTGTGATAAGAACTCTTCTAACCAATATTCCCCCCGTCTTTTACAGAAAACGCTTCTGGGTCATTTTATAAATCCGTACCATTTATTTTACATACATTTTAATATTATTCTCCCTGGTATTTTTATCCCATCTTCAATAAGATAAATTAGATGCTCGTACAGCGGGAAAATAGGTACTGTCTGGGTGGTCGGATGGTTCGTGGTTAGTGGCCCAAAGTAAGATACTTTCCAAGAGGGACTTCGGCTAGAGTGTCGAACACGGGACCGCAACGTCCAGCTGTTGATTTTGTTATATTGGTGCGGTGTCATGACCTCCATACCAATTTTTACAAAATTACTATTCAATTTATTTGAAACTGAATGTACCCCTCCGTCAACATCTGATCCCGTAAGTTATGCAAAATGTAGTTTCAATATACGTTGTCGTACTTACATCGCAGACGACGAGCGAAATAGCATCGCGTACCCTGCGACATACGTGCTGAAAATTCTCTTACTTAATCTTTTAATGTCAAAATAACGATATTCATAAAAGAAAATTCTGTTATCATCAGATTTGAAGTTTTCACTGACGTTTCGGAGGTGATCACTGCCTCCATCATCAGGGTGAGGACGAGCCTTATTATGAGACTGGACGTCGCAACATCCAAAGAAACGGTCAAGTTTACGTGTTCTTAATACCTTCATTACGAAACGTTAGTCGGTAACATTTGAAATACACTTCGAATAAACTTTGTTGTAAATGAATTACTGTGTATCTTTCGAAGTTCTTTTAACGTACACCATTATACGACCCATAACAAGTGGCGCTAGTGTCGCATTCACCTCACGAGGTCGTCCATCAGCCCTGTTGGTATTAACGGTTGCAGAAAATTTAAATAATTTTTCGGTTACCTTCGACGGCAAAGGTCGATATCAGATTTCGATACAATCGATCTTGCGGTTCTCGTATTGAATCACGTGAACACAGAGACAGACATAAGTCAACCATGTATGCATTAATTACATGCACATCATGGAATGAATGCGTAATATTTAAAGATATAGTTACCACATCAAACAAAACAACGCGTATTCTTACAAAATATTAGTTGTTTTATCTTATTTTAAGGTAGTAATAGCTACTTATTCTGAGAATCACACGGAACCCGTAAATACATTATTTGATAACATTAATACAGACAAAATGTACGGTATTGCTTCTCTGCGTAAGTCGTACTCTTCGAAATGTCTAACGACCTTAGCACAATTTAATTTTTATAAAATATCACGACACTCACCCAGCATGAAGTTTGGTGAACGATGCATACGATTTGTCTCTGTTGTTGTCAATGATCAACTCCGAGTCGGCTGCGCGCGCCACGTAACTGCTGTCCCTCTGGTGGCCGCTGCTGCTACTACTGCGCAAGCATGTTGCTATGGAGACCACAAGCCATAACACTGCGAGTCGCCACAACATCTTCCTTCGACTGCAATGGAAAAGATGTTTCACATTCACCGCTCCGCCTGGTGGGGGCTGCAAAACGACTCTAAACACTGACGCTGATTCGCGCGAGATTTTAAGAGCATTTTTTTAACGCTTGTCCAATGTGTTTGTCTACTTCCCACGCGTTGTGTTACGACGCTCGTTTCTGAATCGGTGTTTGGTGTCGGTTGGTTTCTGAACTATTATGTATTGTAAGATTTGAGGTTATGTATTGTTCACAAAGAACACCTTATGGGCTCGAACCATCAACACAAACAAGATGGGTGGAGCTTGTAGCACGCATGCGATATAAATATGCAAAGAAAACTGATTTAACAGCCTGAAGGGAAGACACCACTCACAGGCACAGATTGGAGGATAATATTAAAATGTATATTACGGAAATAGGGTGGGATGATGTGGAATGGATTCATATGGCACAGGGTACAATCCTTTCACCACGATAATGAATCTTCGAGTTCAATTAGTCGGCGGTGTATAATTAATTACGAAATAAAACTGTAAAAATGATATTTCACAATTTAAAATTACGCCAACTACGTCTTTGTATGTAAAAAGTAAAGTAGAACTGTAACACTGTACGCCATGTAGGCGCTTGGGGGGGGGAGAGTATGAATACAAATAAAACAACGAGTAAAATTTATTTATAGGTTTATGGAAAATTATAGCCTGGTTGGTTAATGCCGTAGTTATTAAACTAGTAGATAATATTAATTTTCTGATAAAAGTTTACCTTCTCGAAATTTTTCTTGTTGTGAAAAATCGTACGCACGTGCCCACTTTCTGCTCCGTCACACGTTCGTCGCTTTCACGGCCACTCCCGAAGAACTGGACTCTCCAAAGCCTGAATCGAACCTAACACGAAAAAATTCCAGTTCATTCATCACGGCGTCTATTACAATCATGAAGTTAATCACGAATGCATTCTCGTGTTTTCGTCTGAGTTCCAATCGCACTGATCCGATCTGATGATTAAGTCTGTGAGAATACTGTGCACTCGTAAGAAGAAAGCACGACGCGTTGCTGGTATCTGTCCTTGCAGGAGTAGGACAGAGATAGAAGCGTGCTGCGAATTCGGTCTTCAGCCGGCCGGCCGGCCGGTCTAGCGGTCTGGCTTCCTCCTTCCACCTCTTTGATGCACCTGACAATACGTTCGTTTTTATATCACTGCTACTCGATCAGTTTTGTCTGAAGACTGAACCACCGGTGTTCGATCCTTGCCAGAAAATCGAGGGACCCGGTCAGAGAAACCCACGCCTTGTCACGCAGTTGGCTGCGAGCCCCATATGTGCACTCCGACTTCAGTGGTGAGCAGCATGCGACTAACCACCTGAGCTATGACACAGCCCCCATTGCGGTGCCCGAATTTATAACTTGTGGTGGGCAAGGCCGTGGTCTAGGCAGCCCGGAGTTTTCCTCCGTGGCATCCCACCAATTACTCCATTCACACACAGAAGAAGGCAATGTCAAACCACTTCTGGATCATCTGCCAAGAACGTATATGAACAGGTCCCAGTCCGAGAAAAGGATGGAAGGATCCTGTTCATATGGACCTGTCGTCAGACAGAACACTAATAAATAAAAAAAACCGCGACGCTATCTAGCGCCGAGGTCAAGAACTACGCCAGTGGTCCCCAACATTTTTTGCCCAAGGGCACATTTGAGAGTTTATGAGATCGTTGCGGGCACCAACCAATTAACAAAGCCAAATTTTCTTTTCTCTGGACAAATAAGATTTGGACACCAAATAATACACAAAACAACGCGACGTTTAATGATACGAGAAACCACGCAATCAAAAATACGTACTTTTATAAGTACAATTATTATTACTCAAGTGGGAAGTTAGTGCGATGTTTGGCGCTGGATTTCATCGGCCAGTTTTTCAAATTTGGGGTTGTAGGATGATGTTGCTGCTCGCAAAAAATCGTCAAGATCTGTACTTTGATTTTATAATGTTCATGGTTGAACGGCCTTCATTATTCAGTATAACCTCTTTCCGTAACAACGCGGGTACTCCCCAAAAAGAAAGCCTTTGCGGGCACCGCGTTGTGGAGCACTGAGCTACACCATCTCGCCTCCATGGCGTGGAGCGGGACAGCTCTATTCACAATTACTTTTTACTGATGTAGCTTAATTTTTGATTTCGCCTTTCTCGAAATTTGGTACGATTTTTTGGACGAAAGACGGGTCCGTCCCAAGGTATGTACCTACAAAGGGGAGCAGATAAAAACTGGGACACATCCGTGCCTCGAGTGAGACTGGAACCCATGATCCCAGCGTTCGAGGTATCGAGACCTGTCTTTGACAGCGCGGTCAAATGTGATCGGCCATAATTTGAACTCGTCGTTAAGAAAACGCAGTAAAACGATATGAACGGAAAAAATAACTCGTTCAGAAATTGGTACGGACTCATGAAAAGGAGAGACGTCTTGGGAGATTTATGGGAGGATAACATTAATGTGGATCTTGAAGGAATAAAGTTGAGGATTTAGATTGGGTTCATGTGGCTCAGGATACAGTTTAGTGGCGTTCTCTTATGAACACAGCAATAAACCTTTTGGGTTCCATAAAAACTTTAGAATTTCTTGACCAGATGAGTGAGTATTGTCTTGCCAGAGAGCGCTCTCTCTCTCTCTGTGTGTTCCATGAGTTGGTTCAAACACGCGTCTGACTGTGTTCATAACTTAGCAGACCTACACTTTAATAATCGCATCTTCATTCCCAGAAGTTACAAAGCGAGTCGTGACTAAGCCACTTATAGGTCGGTGCTGAGTGATCAGATCTTCTGTAGTTTGCTGACCCCCAGTACCAGAGGTCAGCACGGGCTGATATTTTAAAATACTACCCCACCCGGCCCAACCAAAGCCCGATGTTTATCTTCAAATATGTTACCCGTAACCCACCTAAGCCTAAGACCGACTTAATTTTATTGTAGCCCGAATGAAGTGTGATCTTATTTACAATGAGTTGTGACTGTCGTATCATTAGTACATTATTTTTAATGCATAAATGCCAGTAATTATTTAACGACACTCTGAGATCGTCTGAGGTTATATTGGCGTTTGAGGAACGAAGTTACCGTATTCCAAGTTTGAAAGGCGTTAGTTTCGAACTATGTCTGGCAGGGGGCAGAATCAAGTTGGTGGGATTTATTTCCGGAGCCCGACTGTGTCAGGAACTTAATATGAACGCAACTAGACAAGCCCAGTTTATACCAAGGTTGATTTTCTGTTCAATAGCCACGCGTCTGTTCAACCTGGTTAGAACGCTGGTCTTGTAATCCTGGGGTCTCGGGTTCGAATTTATAACTTTTGTTGGGCAAGGCCGTGGTCTAGGCAACCCGGAGTTTTCCTCCGTGGCATCCCAACAATTACTTCATTCACACACAGAAGAAGGCAATGGCAAACCACTTCTGGATCATCTGCCAAGAACGTATATGAACAGGTCCCAGTCCGAGAAAAGGATGGAAGGATCCTGTTCATGTGGACCTGTCGTCAGATAGAACACTAAATAAATAAAACTGATAATCTGTTCTGATACAGTAACTTACATCGATAATTCAACAATTATTCACTTTTATTAATGAACACAGTTCGTGAAATTTATGTCCGACTGGCCTCATTCTTTAAATCCGAGAATATTATACGATTTGATATTAATTTCACCGTAGTTTGGTTTTCTGTCGATCCGTTCTAACCCCTGCTTTATTTTTCACTTGAATTGAAATATATGAATTATCTCAAAGAAAACGCCTTAAAAGAAAAATTATCAAAACAGGTTCACATGAAAATACAGACTTTGTTTTTCTATGAATTTTAACCCTCACTGCTATTTACAATTATGTCCGTTCCTGGGGCTGTTGTGTGTGACAACTTTTACGTTTTATTATTAAATCTTAGAAATAATACTTTATACTTATTTTGAGCAGAAGAAATAAACCAAAATTCGTGGACGATTTGGTCATGACTGTGGATTGTTTTGACATGCAGTTCATCTATAGAAGGCGATGGAAATCGACAAAAATAATAGGTCTGTCCCGTGTTTTGAACAGCTGACCTCCGATATAAAACTTAGTCTCTGAGTCTGGTTTTAACCTGTCCATGGCCTCCGGACACTTCAAAGCGAAATTCCGGAATGCAAATACGTAACGTAGATTACCTATTCTTTCTTATTCCAGTAAATTTACGATTATTCTGTGTTTCTGCTAATTATCACCTTTGATCTGGTTGTCAGAACCTTCCGGTCTTTGGTCTGCAGGGACCAGCTGCTGCATTTGCCGCCACCAAACACACGCACGCACGCACATCCTATGGAAGGAAATTTTTCCGTGTGGAGTTCATGCCAGGAGCAACTGGAAATTATACAGCGCAGTCCAGCAACCTTTTGTTTACGAGGTAGAATAAAGGTCAGTCATTATCACTGTATTATTTGTGACGCATTGGCGAGGCTTGAACCTACGGAATCGGGTACATATTTTGTTGTTTCCTTAACTTAGTCTCTTGTCGTTCGGATTTAAAGGTTCCGTGTTCTAATCTGACCGTAGAAAATGAATTTATATATTAAAAAAAAAACATATCTCAGAATTGATTCTGTTTTGATTCTGGCACAAATGATTTACATAAATTGCTGTTTTGGTCCTTAAAAGGACGTTTTTAAGAGCTGACATCTTCAGTAAGATGTCCAGAATCTTTGAGGTTTTTCTTGGTTTTTTGGGTGGTTTTTGGATTTTTGGGGTGTTTTTTGGTTGAAGAACCACGGATTTCATGGACTCGGAATTACTCGCCACTCCCACGGGATTGTTTTTATACACACTCTTCATGAAATATTTGTTATGTTCGCAGTTGCAGACATTTCGCCAGTTGCGAATATGATATTTTACGACTGTCACTCGCATGTAATGTAGCTGGAAATTGTGTACTGAAATTAATCACTAAATTGCGCAGTTATAAATTTCCGCCTTAGTTATTACTGGCCTCACAATTAGCCTGTATTGAGGAAAGTGTTTTCTAGAATTTGTTGCTTACAATTGTCCCGAAATCATATAAACTTTTAACATAGGCTATACCGTCAACCAAGGAGTTCGATTTAAGTGATATTGCTGTGATTGACTTAATGACTGTCTCATGTCGTATAGCGAGATACTAAATTACTCTATACGTAAGTCTACTCTGGCATATGCAGATATTTAATGCCAATAACTTAGGACTTTAAAAGTATATTCTTGTTAAGTTGATGTATTTTTAATTAGTCATCAAGTAATTAATTGTCAATATGTAAATTATATTGATCTGTCTGTCACTTTATAGCGTGATTTGCATTTCTTATGATAGTTTGTTTAGAACTTTGGTTGGGAATGGTTACATAGCGAGTAGGTTCAGGTGGAAGATAACTCAATTTGCAGGCAATGGAATGAACAGCTGTTAACACATTGGCCTGAACATAGAGTAACTTAGATAATATCGCAAGTCGTAACATCGATATGCAAGTCGCTCGATGCGCTGAAGTTTGGGGACGGGAAACGAGGCCTTTGGGAGGTTCTTGCCGGAATGGCCCACTGCGGTGTGTGACGGTATATGACGCAGTTGGCTGTTTTGTTCAGAAAGGATAAGCAAGGCCTAGGTAAATAGGCCTATTCATTTATGTAGCGAAAATTCTTATTTGCGTTTTAAGAAATAAAAGTAGTCATGTCCGAACTCGAGGAAGTGTGTGACTGAGGAGAATCACGAAAACTCCAAAGGAATTATTGCAAGTCTGGTTAATTTTCATCGCTAATATTTTTAAATGTTCAGCACCTTTGCATCTATAATTAATAATTTTATGAATTATATGCACTAGAAATCAAGAAAACAAATAATTGGAGGTTACGTCTGTCCATAAACATATAAATCGTCGAAATTTGGTGCTGGAGTATACAATAAAAAATTGCCAGGATAATTTACATCTTGATTTATGTAGATCAAATGTAACTTCTGCTTTGCATGAAGCTGAAACAGCTTTATACGTACATACAGTTTCTCATAAACATGCATTATACATACAAAATAATATGCATATTGTATAAAATACAAATGTAATTAATCTACAAGGACAATGAAAATTTACGACTACGAATAAAACTGTGTTCTGGGATGTTGGGCCGTGTAGTCTGGTAGAAATATGTCGACGTTTCAGAGGTGCTTACTGCGTCCATCATCAGAGCGATAATGATGTATCTATTGTGGATGAAAAACTGTCTGTTTTGAGTTTTGGTCATCTTCGAGTACTAACGTGATTCAGTCTGTTAAGACGAATGACGGGTGGATGGCTTTAAATATGTCACAGACGCATCCTTCTACATCCCTGCCACAAGTCGACGATTATATTTTCCGTACATTTCTCTTACCTGTAATATATGCAGTTTAAATAGCATCGATAAATAACCCAAACCCAATACATTTAATTAATTTTGTAGAACGCAGTGATTGTGGAACGTGGATACCTGAAATGTTATCAAATGACTCGTGGCCGAGTGGGAATTGCACACGCTTCGTGTTCAGGAAGTACCGGGTTCGGATTTCTGCCAGAGAACCAGTTGTACTGACGGAAGTTTTTCGTGGTTTTTTTCAGACCTTTAACGCAAATTCGGGAATATTACCTTAAATTACGATTCGGCCACTTCGTTTACACGTCCTCTCCAAGTCATTAGTTATTAATAAATCTATAATTTGTCCTAAATACGACGTCATTAAATAAACCACAAACAGACAAGTAGGATCTAACAGGTCAAGGACCTGAACAATCTTATCGTTTTAATAAGACACGATTATACGTGTTTTGAAAGAAAAGTTAGGTTGTTCCCGCTGAAATGAGATGCACTTTTACCCCCAGTCCGACGAGTTAGCAGAATGAGAAATATTCAAAGACGCTTCTGCGAAGTTTTCTTTGCGACGATCGTGTTAAAATGCTTGTTCCGTTAATGGAAGGAATTTGAATAATGTGTTTGGGCGCGTATAAAAACACGCGCCGAGTGTCGTCTGCATGAAGTGTTTATAGAAGGGAACAAGGTTTTGAAGAAAGACACACAATTATACTCCGGAGACAGAGGAGTGCTTTCGAATCAAGTTCTTGTTTGTGGTGTGTGGCTGGCTTTTGTTTAAGTGTTCCTGGATACTCCGAGGCATTGATTTGCGTTTTTTTTTCAACTTGTACAAATATGTATTTGGCCTATCGAGTAGCACAGTGTACACTCAGCCACGACGATCCACGAGGTCACTCGTTCAGATTTAAAAACACAGCTGGACACTCGCTAAAATTCTTGAAACTAATTTTATTCAGCACAACTCAGATGGTCTAAGAAACAGGTACATGCATACCTCGTTTTATTGCGCCTCGCAGATATTTCGTTTTTTTTTAAAAAAAAAATTGAAGGTTTGTGGCAACCCTGCGTCGAGTAAGTCTATCGGCGCCATTTTTCCATCAACATGTGCTCACTTCGTGTCTCTGTGTCACATTTCGGTAATTCTCGCATTGATTTTTAGACTCAAAGCTATTGCACACTTAATAGACTACAGGATAGCGTAAATATAACTTTTATATTCACTGGGAAACCAAAAAATTCGTGTGACTCGCTTTATTGCGGTGGTCTGGAACCGAACCCGCAATATATCCGAGGTATTCTGTAGTTGGATTTCTATGTTGGTCTGCCGAGTTGTAACAACGTGTGGATTTGTGGGTAGATATTACTTTTTCGGAGAAACACACCGTATCCATCTTCAATAATATGTCTCCGAAACGTCCACATGCCGTCATACCCTAGAACATAATCGCCCTTAACGCCGTGATATCGTCAGACTTCACATAGTGACAACAGCGTAACGTGACTCAGATTGTAAAAGGGTCACGTTGGCAGACAAACCATAATTAGTTCCTCTAACGGCCGCATTTCGTAGGCAGATTTTCCGTGGCCACAATTGCCACTAACATGACGTGTATAATTTATTTTCAACCAGACCACGCGCGCTGTTCGTATTACTCGACAGTTTCCTAGTTTGCGGAACCTCACGCCAAATCCCCAGGTCAGAGAAACTGCAAAATTAGCAGGCATAAATATCCATAAGAGGAGTTCTCAACCCACGGCCCGCGGGTCACCCCGGCTGAGGAACACTGCACAATACAAACTTACGAACGAATTTTGAACATCTGAAACACAGAAAGTTTCTTTGTACTCGTGGACTTTGTCAGTAGAGTCGTATCCTCCTATCATCACATCGGGCCGATCCAAAATGCGAAATTTCGCCTAAAGAACGCACTGTACCTTATTAATTATGAAGTGATTGTTCACATCACATGTTCTGGGTTTGTTAGTGGCGGGAGAATTAGATATTTTTGTTCAAATAATGTACCCCCGTCATGCACATAAACATCATTAATACCGTTGTATTATTCTAGCGTATTACGAGATGCTATTTAGAAGTTCCTGCATAATTAATATACACTTCCGTGTCTACAACAGAGGTCAACGAGCGTTGTAAACAAAATGACAGAAAGACTAAGATGCTGATTTTCGAGTGTCAACACGTTAAGAGGTTCGTGCAATGTAAAGTCACGGCCATTTCATCGTCCCTAATACTTCCTAGATCACTTCTGAAATATCTCGGAGTTGAGGCTGGGACATGTCAGAGACCATATAGTAGCGCCAAACAGCGATAATTTGTACTAAATATTTAATACCTACGCTTGGAGGAATTCACTAATTAAACGACGTGGCTTGTCAATAATAAATTAGGTCATTTATTACAAAGTCGACTCACGAAAATTCTAAGTCATGACAACGAAAAATTATTTTTTAAAAAAACAATGAAGGTATCTATAAACTTCACATGTCTTCAGACAATGTCGAAGGACTCTGAATCGTGTGAAACGGACACTTCGTTTGAAGCGAAGCTTGAATAACGTTAATGAAACAAAAGTATAATTTGAACAGAATGATAAGTGGTGATCCATGTACTTTAACATGCAGACGAGATATTTTCATGGAAACAAGAAAGAAAACCACGATAAAGTACTTATATCTAGGCGAAGTTCTGGCTGATATTTCCCAGACACAAAGTTGATACTGATTTCGGTTTAGGCGATTAATGTGACAGGTTAAATTGTTAAGTGTGAAGGGTTATTGTTTTGTCTACTGTGTGATACAGGGCACATCATGTTTGTGTAGACCTAAATTAAAAATGTTTTTAATTTTAATTTTCTTCCGGTATTTAACACAGATTGAGTAACAGTTAAGTCCCGATTTAAAGAAACCATGACTCTGAAATTAAGTCGTGGCAGTGATATTGAGCACTTATAAAAATGTAAATTGTGAAAAATAAAACTTGAAATTTGTTCCAATATGGCGTGCCTAGCATCATATCCTCAGATTTGTTA